TGGGGAAATAAATGAGGAGGATTGTCACATTTCAATTAATATCACTGTCAACAAATTGATGAATATAAAATATACATCAAGTATTTACATGTGTGCAAAAGTGTATTTAATATCACTAAAATACATATGAAATTTTAATTCATACAGTACTATTTCGTATATTCAAACCAATACACTTACTTGGACATTTACTCGTAATACGGCTTTCCAGTCTGTTTCTGGGATCACTGGCTACATAGATTCAAATCAGAAAGCATAATATCAGCATTAGTGGGGCATAAATATTTTTATCATCGGTATCTCGGTAATATGTCAATGTTTGAGAAAGGCATATAACTTAGGCTTAGAAAAATGAAAACAGAAATTATGCCTTAATTCTCATTGCATATCTTTATATTTTTTCTTTCCCTACTAGCCCTACTACATTGTAGAAAAGCAAAATTTGCATAATTCATTCATATTTTTCAAAAAGCGCGTGTTTGTGATGATGTAGTTGAATTAGAAGGATATTGAACAAGATTCAAGATTGTTTAGCATTGAACAAGATCCCCAATTCTCTGTAAGGTTTTGCGATTAAAATTTATTCCTTGTCAATTATATTGATATTAGTAGAGATCTCCACAGATGTTGAGGTTAATTTGGAAAAAAGTAAGGTTACAAATTCGTAAATTTGTTTGAAATGTTCCAATATGTTCTCTGTACGCTTTTGAAATGAAACTTAAGGTCATTTTTCTCTAACTTAAAAAGGCCCATGTTCATTTTTAGACCAAATGTCTCATAATCCTTCTTTTTTCATCTTAACTTTGGATACAGATTTTCTTAATAAGCTTATTTTCAACTGATTTTATATATTAACACTGTGTCTTAATTGCTTACATACCATTCCATGTACATTTGACATTAATGTCAACACATCCTGCAAACGGATCGCACGTTTCTGTTTCTTTACATTTACATTCTTCTTTACATGATACTCCATAAAATCCACATGGGCACTCTTTAGAACAATCTTTTCCGTAGAACCCAACACATTCTGTAACAATCAATGTAATACCACATAACGTCATAGAATTAAATGTCAATGTAGAAGCCAAGAATATAGATGCCAACTAATGAGTAAAGTTGTTTTAGGTATAAAAGAATATTTCTTTAAACTTACCTGTACACCTGTTTTCAATGTTTATGTAACCAGAACAACAGATTGGAGTTGACTGGCTGAGAAAATGAAATAAGTGTTAGTGAAAAACAAGTAGAGAATAATTTCAATTATGATGAAAAGTAAAACAATGATTTGGAAAACAAGTTTGATATAATTATGTGCAAAATGTATTGAAACTCTAAATTGCACTTTTCTTTTATAAAATGTCGCCCACGTGGCGCAGTGGTTGCATCGTCTGCTCTATATTTGTGAAGTAACGACTTGATCCTACGTCGCCGTTCGAATCCTACGTTGGACGTGGAGACCAGTCCTTCGGATGAGATCGTATAAAGCGAGGTCCCGTGTTGCAGTGGGTGTTGACATGAAAAAGATGCTTCAATGCTCAATGGCACTGAGTGCCGAATTTAGAAAAAAATTTGCAGCTCTACATCGGCAAGTGGTGGCGTCTCGTTTGAGTGAAAAATTGTCGAGAGGGACGTTAAACAATGTACAATCAATCAATCTTTTAATATTAAAGCATAAGCCTAAAGCGCTTTAGGTCTATAATTAAAGTAATCTTGTTTAAAAAAAACAGGAAGAATATACACCTGTATACACAAATGTGCAAATGTTATTTTTCATAACTTACTTTTTCATCGTTCCACACCTCTCTTTGTCAGCAAAATTCAATGCCGCATTCAAGACTAGAATTATCGAGCAAGATAGGAGTATGTCCATTGTGCGGATTCTACATCTCAGTCAAAATCGACATTTTGTTCATATTTTCCTTTTATTGGAAAACAGGAAATTATTCGGATATTGGTTTTGTAATTCATACAGCTCAGAAACATTCAGAATATTATATATATACTTGAAGTGATTTTAATGTGATATATGTTTTTACATATCCTGTAACAGTCACCATAGTGGGCATGAGCGGATTTCTGATATCCGGGATGTAGACCTTTCTAAACTCTAAATTAATTGAAGTTTCGACTTTCTGGTACTAGTTATATTTTAAAAATTAAAATACTCGGAAGCACTGGGGACAAGACGTGAAATTCTTCAGAATTACCTGCATGATAGCTAGACTGTCTGACATATTGAGACGATTTTGTCATTTACATCGTCAATTTCCTTTCTTATATTGTAATTCCTATATAACCTGTTTATGATATTTATGTCTCCCAAGTTGTTGCTAATCAACCTAATGTTTTGTGTCAAATCAAGTAAGTTAAGTTGTAAACAAAACAAACTACTCATAGATAATTTAATGATATTATATGGGTTTCAAACATCTCGTTAAAAGTCAACATTTTGTTAGCCTATATTCATCAAAATGACCCTTTTAGGAAATATAACCAATCACAAGGCCTATATTTAAAACTATTTTTAACTACAGAATTTTTCGTCTTCTTCTTTTTCGTGATTGGTCCAGAGGCCTGGGTTCGATTTTGGTTCTCGGCGCTACGTCAAACCTAAGACGTAAACATTGGTTTTGACTGTTTCTTCTCCAATCGCTCGGCACTAGAAATGGCGGTCACCCGTCGGGTCTTTCGGGTATGACCTTAAAAACATAGGTCTCGTGTCACGGTAGGCGTTCGCGCGGTAAAGAACTTTCACTGCTCAGTGACCCTGAGTGCCGTGTATAGGTATAAATTTGAAACTCTTCACTGGCAAACGGTGACGTCTCCATATGAGTGAAAAATTTTCGATTTGGACGTAAAACAATAAATATTGTACAATCAATCAATCAATACATGTAAATAGGGGTCAAAACGAGTATAATGACCGATAAACAGGGGACGCTTTCTCCTCCTGTGATCTGGTCCCATCTCATGTTAAAGCCATGTTCTCTTATTTTTACTATTGTTTTCAAACACCATGAAATGGACCACTGTTCGTTATTTTAACCTTTTTCATTTTGATTTAGAATTCACTTTCTATTTTGAAAGGAACTAGCACTTTTTCATCATCTTAATTAGTCAAGCAGGTGTTAGTGATCTCTGTCAACATTCATTGTTAAACATTGGTAGAAATGTTTTGGAAAGGTAACAAAATTAGTTTCTTATCATTATTATGAGTATGATCCTTTTCAATGAAATAAAGTAGGGTTATTTAACTTATATTGTGGCTGTACACAATTGTGCGAGTGCATGTGTTCAGTCAACCACTGCCAATCACCAATATAGGTTCAAAAACTTCTTTATTATATATACTTAAAACATTACCTTATAATTTATAATAATTATTGCAACTAAAAAAATCAAATTAATGATTTTTTTAGTATCGGTATTCAAATTAACCCCTGTCCTGTAAGTGTTCAATATCGCATCATTCCGATGACCCTACCGAGAGTCATAACGTGCTTTAGGTTTTAATGGGTCTAATACATTCTATATTTTAATAAATAATTTCATTTTTGTGTAAAAAAAAAATAAACAAATCTTACCTAGATGACACTTTCCTTCTTTAATTTAACTCTTAGAATTTGAGCAGACGACTTATTTTGTTTACAACAGGGCGTTCGATGTTGAACGCTCGTATTTGGAATGTTTCGGGCATACTCGTACACGTAATACAAACTCAGCGTTCAATAAAACATCATTGAACGCTAAATTTGCTAGATTTCTGGTAGTATTTTATTAGAGACTATTTATTAGCTATATAATAAATCTTATTGTTAGATCCATCTTTGTTGATAACGTAAAAATCTATCGTGAATTAAAGCATATTTTCCACATAACATCCTCCCCAGGAATCTTGAACGACAAGAATTGAAAGGGAAGGTAGCCGAAACATAAACTCTGGTAAGATTATGATGTTTACGTTGTACTAGGTGAATTCAATTTGCCAAAGTTGCACCCGTCAAAGAACACAGATTATTAGTACAGCTTGAGATAAAAGATACCACAGAGTCTGACATATTTGTTTCATATTTGGATATTTAACTTGAAAAAGACGTAAATGGTAAACAATCAACAAAACTCTCTGATAAACGGTGACTTTACTTATGAAGCAATATACGGAATTTATGTAACTCACTTGATTCGATACGCAAGAACGTGTTTTACATATGAACAATTTCTAAAACGACGTAAATTATTGACAAACAATTCGATGGAAGAAGAATATCAGCAGTCTTATTTAAAGTCATAATTTCGTAAATTCTATGGTCGATAAATGACCAAGTCAGCAAATACATGTACAATAAATTTATAATTGGGACAAATGCTAACTGACGTTTTTCATACCTATTGTTAGGCCATTATTTATACACTAAATTAACGATGGATTTTTCTTTTATTTCCGGATCATGAGAAGAAGCACAGGGCGGATGTGACCGGTCGCCAGGTGATGATCACTCCTCCATGGCACCTGATACCAACTTCGATGATTTGGAGGTTATCTTTTCTCCGCTCTTATTTTGTATTGCTTTTTGGACTGTTGATCTTGAATGCTATTCGTTATCTCAATATGTTTCATTTCTAAAGTGTTTATTTTAAGGACCCTCTCTACACCAGTGCAAAATGTTTTGGATATTGAGAATAATTAATATATAAATTTGTTACTTTTGAGATTATTTATTCTATTTTCACTACATGGTACGTGGCATTTACTCCTAGGAAAAATGTTTAACAGCACGGTATCGATGAATAGAAAGTACTGTCGTTTACTTCCAGAAAAAATACATGTAAATTACATGTTCAATGAATTTATCTTAGCCTTTTAAGAATATTTGAATTGAAAACAAATTGACTAGGAAACTGTAAATTATATTTTAGGTATTACATTTAAGGACAGATCACTCTTAATGCAGAAAATACCATAATAATCTTAGATAGGATTCGTATTTTCTTTTGTGACACTTTTCATATTTTCTTTTGATATAACACATATACATTTTAAAAG